ACCGTTCCCATGTTTTTCGTCAAATATACTTTTTGTGTCTTAAAAAACCAGTAGTACAACATAGGCCTTTCAAAGCGATTTTTTCCTCTGGAGCCTGACTTTAAAACGCTCATTAGCTTACCGACTGATTATATACTTTGAGGCACAGGTGACAAAATGCGGCCCACGGGCCGCATGCGGTCGGACAGCGAATCGTTTGCGGCCCGCGAAAATGAATTGAAAACCCTAGGTTTGCGGCCTGACAAGCAACATTGGCTCGAAAACACCTTGTTTTTTACTGCCCGACACCGATCATCTGTAAAAAGCAATATTAAAACTGGAAATAAAGTGGTGTAAAATCAATGCTAGGAGGTTTTTGAAAACACACTGGAAAATAGGTGCGGCCCTTGGTGTTCAATAAAAAATTCCATTTGACCCTCCGACTAATTTTTATGCCCATCCACACCTGTAAAGCCTCAAATAAAAGTCCTAGGCTTCTTTCTTGTTCTAGGACCCTTTAATGGGTTTCTTTTCGAGATTAATTCTGCCAACTAAAGAGGGGCTTCCATTCAAAATGAGTGCTGTAAATATTTGTATTTGCTACTATAAAACCCTACTGAAGACATTTTTCAACCATGGAATTCAAATTTTTATTTTTTTAAATTTTTTTAAAGGCTCACAAAAAATATAATATTTTTCAATTGATGGTCTTGCCACGCTAGGCCTATATCATACTAGCCTTGTTTGGAGGCTACGGGCCATTATTTGTTCAGTATAATATACTATAGGCCTATATTATTGATATGGCGCAACAGGGCGAGTGGTTGTAATCTCTGATTATTTTGTTTTGTTTTAGTTCCATAAGTGCCCTCTACGAGACCGCACGGCCGTCGGCAGACGAACCCACCTACCGCCCCCTTCATTAAAAACGATCCATTGCCGTGGCACAAGCGTCGACGTAGCATTGAGTTCTCAATGAAATCGCGGCGGCCTACAATATGTGCCCGGCTTGACACGTGATAAGTTTATCAGATTATAGGTGTAATTTTTGCCCTACCTGACGTGGAAATGTACCGAATACTCAGTACATTTAAAAACAACTGCGAAAAAATCGCAAGTTATTCTCGGGTGGGACTCGAACCCACGATCTCCAGATCACTAGCCTGGCATCATAACTCTAGACCACCGAGCTTGCGCCTGATGGCCAGGGTACTGCAGTGTTGATATCAGATTACGAACAGAATACATTGGTATTTAGAAGCATCATTATAAGTCTCTCTTCATAATGATTTCATTTCCTCTTTATTGATTATCATTAAATGATCTAATGAGTAGACATGGTATAGGTTTCTAAAAGAGAATGACTACCTGAGTCCATAGCAAATAATAGCATAAGACATTAATGTTAGGTAGGTCTGCATTATATTTTCAAACTTTTGCTGCAGTCGTAAATATTTGATCAGAATTTATTACAAATACTAGATTAATATCGAAGTTTTGAAAATGGTTTGGGACATTACAATAGTTTATTATGTGCACCGTTTTAGCTTTTCTCAATTCATAAACTTTACCGTAAAATTAAACAATGTGTTGATACAACAACTACCACAACAGGAATATTTATGATGTATTTAAATTATAATGTAACGAAAATGTCTTTCTCCGTATTTCATAATATTAAACGAGTATTATTGCGTTCGACGGTAGTACAAAAATGAAGGAAAGTATTCTTGACACTATTAGAACTAAGTTAAGCAAAAGTCAGAATAGTTCATGCAGAAGTTGTAAAGTGATTAAGTTTTAAATTATTTAGAGAAGCAACGGTATTCTACTGAACATCGTAAGATATTAAAATATTGTTTTGTGAATTCTTTATGCATAATTATGAATAAACCATTGTTTATTTTTTATATCAGGTTAAAGCGTTGAAAGAAATGCTGTGCCTTATATTTTTAATGCCAGACATAATATATTTATTGATATTAATTGTATCAATACCTAATAATTCAATTATTTAATAATGTACTTAACTTAATTTTATATACCGTATAAATTATATATTTTTTTTTTACATAATTTTTCATACAGTAACATGTTCAGTTGGCCGTATAACAATCAATCATTCTACTGGCATTTAGAATCTACTTTTTTTGACTGAATGAAACATGTACAGTTTTTCTAGGTGAAGTTGAATCTACCTTATCGTATTGTTGTGAATACAGTAAAGGATTTATTAGTTGCAGTTTTAAATTTTATTTCATCATATAGATTTGAAGAATGATAAAAAGGTCACGGACATACCGATAGTTTTTACTTTAATTTTAAGCTTTCATGGATGAACATAATCAATGTATTTCGTTTGATTAACCGGCATTTTAAAAATGGTTTTCTTGCTTTGAAAGTAAATGATTGTAGTTTTTGCTATGATTAATTAGTATTTGGAAAATGTTTAACCGATTTTGTTTAAAATAAATGAGCTGATAATGTACTGCTTGTTCATACTTGTATTAGTATGAACATTGGCATCAATGCCCAGGCGCGGATCCAGAGATGTCCGAAAGGGGGAGCCGGAAGGGGGCCGAAAGTGGGGCCGAGATACACCACGCTAGGAATCCCGAGGGCATGCCCTCGCGAAATATTTGTTTTCTAGACTTTATTGCTACATGTTGTCACAACAAGGGAAATTGCAATTGTAACTCTCCAACATGTTAGAGGTGAAAACCAATTGTTAGAATTTGTTTTTCTATTCCTAATATTAATAGATTATAGTTCAGAGATTGCTTTACCTGTTCTATATAAAATTCAAATTACATCATGGACAAGCAGATTATGTACTAGGTCATGTAGCTAAGTTGTTATCACTTCATAATTATGTATAAAAGACTTATGTAAAGAATTACTACAAACATTTTCAAGGATTGTATTTAATTCGAATATTAACACTGGCTCCTCATCTATTATTCAGTCTGAATTTTTTTGTGTGTAAAATCAAAACATTTTGTTTTACTTTTGTTGTTTTTTGAGTGTTTGCTTAGTAAAAAAAATAAATAAATAATAATAGGCCTAATAATAACATAGTTATACGCATAGAACAATTTATTTTCTCTCGAATTATGTTGCGGTTTAAGTGATCTTCAATTGAAATGTCTAATACTGTATCTCTTGATTGCTGAAATTGCCGTCATGGAAAATCAAAATTATTTGCTTTCAGTTCCCATGTTGCGTCTCTCTCTCTCATACTCTTCAAGCATCATTGCTTCGCCAATAGATTTCTCCATGTCCAGTTTCGGAAGCTCCCTAAGTGACCCGTGAACCCTAAATGACCCGTGAACAACAGTAACCACGACATAAAATGAGTTCAAATGTGAAATGAAATTACGCATTTCTGATTACTGATTTTTACTGGAATGTAATTACGGATGCGCGATGAATTCATAATTTATGTATCTATAATTTCCATTAGACTTGTCATAAATTTACGACTGCAAATATGGAATAATTATTTTATTATGAATAATTTTAATATAAAAAAAAACATCGAAACGTAATACAATCCAATAGTGCACCAAAAATACATAGTCTTATTTTTGTAAGAGATTAAACACATATTCTTGTGTATGATCCAAAATTATTGATTTATCCTATATTATTCAACATGATAAATCTAATTATAATAAATCTAATTATCATCAGTAATCCTTCATTTTGATAATAATGGAGTGTAATGTGCTTATTTATTAAATGACTTTCACCAAAAAGTGTTTGAAGTAAAAAACAGTAATTGCTGTTGTTAATCAATAACCATAGAGGCAAAAAAAGCATGAATGGTTTATATATAAAGCTCAACGCAATTTTGTCCTGCTTTTGTTGATGAGTTTTTAAGCTAAAGGTGTTAGACATAGCTTTTGTGCCTAGGATCCTGGTATGTTTAGCATATGCTAATTATATTTGATATAATGACAAATAGGCCTACCAAACACATTCCCAATACCAATTCTCTCAGGTTACCTGAACTAATCTTTTCTTTTGCCGCTCCGAAATTATGGAACTCTCTTCTATCTAATCTTAAATCAACTTCTGATACTAATTCATTCAAGACCCTCCTTAAAACCTAGGAGTATACCTTTAATCAATGATTCTTATATCTTTAAGAGCCAGTGACAAATAATTTGTCACAAATAAAACAGGCGCTATACAAATTCTCAAATTTATTTATTATTATCATTACTAATATTATTATACAACAGTTATACTTAAAATACCGTACTTATAAATAATTTCACTTATTCGTTAGCGTAAAAACACTATCTACGTGGTCTACGCAAGCATTAAAATATATTAGTACTTGGCCATGCAAACCTTCGAACAACAATTATATTTATTACTTGTCATTTTAAAAAAAATTTAAAAAAATAAAACAACGAAGATTGTTTATGACTTAAATCGCAACGATTGCAATTATAATAAAGATGTTAGTGCAATAAATATAGATAAATATATAAATAAATTTATTGTCAATTATAGTGATGACACTACATAATGCGAAGTGTTGTTAAGAGTTAAAGTCGATCACTTATCGTGTATCTACGACAAAATGAGAATTTGATTGAGACGAATAAAACTCATCACTTGAACTGTCAAAATGCCTCTACCATCCACTAATTCAAAAACAGATTTTTCTAACATCATTGAAAACTCCGTTACATTAAGAGCAAACATTCGCAAATTGATGCTCGTTAGCGACATTCATCAATCGCCAGCATCGTATAGCAACTTTGGAATGAACAGCGCTTGTGTACGTCGTGCCAACACGCTTTGTAGATTCACTACGTGCCTCCACGCTGCACTACAACATTTAACTGTAAGAATTTTAGTCAATTGCATATAGCTATTAAAAAGACATCAAGATAGTGACTGTGATGGAATGCTTTAATATAAACCGTACTTATCTATGGTAAATTCTAGAAACAAAACAACATTTTGCTCATAAATGATTTAATAGTTCACAACTTCCGATCAGACAAAGACTTAACTCTGATTCAGTTTGCTGAATTTCTTTGCTTAGTAGTCTCAAGACGCTTCAGTTTATGAGAATATAATAACGGTGATTCTAACAATTATAGATAAGGTAAGAACAAGTTGCTAATTATTTTTATTACAGTTATCAAGAAGAATGAAAAAAATGCATTCCAATCAGTATTTCTCACGACATACTGCAAATTCAAACGCGGATCATAATAAATATTTTAAAATGACGAGAATATTGTAATTAGTTTGAAATGAATGATAGTTTAGCAATTTTGAAAGTTGTGAGAATAGATACAATTAGTGTGATCAGCATAGAATTATAACGTTGAGTAATTCTGAAGAATTTAGGAGAGCATAAGGGGTGCTAATATTATTGAAGAATGTTTAGAGTTAAAAGAGGAAAAATACGGTAGGTAAACCGATATAAAGATCTGTAAAATTAAAACCGGAAAGAATGTTTTATAAAGGTTAATTAATGCAAAATCAATATCATATCTGCCACGTTAGACCATGGTTAGACGAGAGATACTTTTGATATTAAAATACTTTGGGTTCGCTGAACTGTGTAGAGATTAGTACCAAAAAAAAAAAGGTAAAAGAAAGGGGAAAAAAATCTGTCTAGTTTTGCATTGAACCAACTGTTGAATTTCTGCAGATCGTCTTTCACATAATTTTTCTATTTCTTTTCACATTTCTTCCATTTTTCCGAGTACCATTGAACAACTTCCTATTGACTCGGAAAGTTTGGTTTGTTCTTGCCCATTTTGCTTGAACTTTTTTTAATCGTCTAGAAAAATCATAACTCTTTGACTTTCCTTAAACATTTTTTGTTTAATTAGGTCTATACTGTAATTTTGGATTCAATTACTGGATTAAGTAACAGAGAATTTTGAATTTGGAAAGGGTTGGTGATTATGAAGAAATTATTCAGTATTACCAGAGACGTATGGTACTTTTATGGGTTTATGTCGGCTTTTATTAGGGTATTAGTAATATTAACGTTATTTAATCAAGCTGTTTGAGTCTGATAGAGCCATGCAGCTAATATAATAGGCATATATTGTGAAATGTTATGAATTATGCTACTATAGAGATAATATTAATAGTTTTAAATTAAAAATCGAAGAAACATCACCGTTTGCAAAAACTGTAAGTTCCCAAGTATCGTTTGACGACTTCAAAATTACAATATTATGATTCGGCTGTAGAGAACTATATTTATCTATATTTTGCAAAATGGCAATTCACCACATAGTGGATGATTACAGTTGAGGGATGCTGCGCCGGGATGATTGCATTTTGATCAGACATTTCTAGGTTAATTGGTTCAACGAAGAAGATGTAATAAAGTAGTTTGCATCAAATTGTGCTTGGTTTATTATTGATTAAACAGTTCTACAATAATGATAATAATGATAATAATAATAGTAATAATAATAATAATAATAATAATAATAATAATAAAAATAATAAAAATAAGTTAATATAAGCAATAATAATACAAACAATAATGTATAATAATAATTATTATTATTATCATTTTTATAATAATAATAATAATAATAAAGATGATGATGATCTCATTTCTTTTCACTTGTATCATTGTCAAAATCATAAAATTCAATAATTCATAATAATAATAATAATAATAATAATAATAATAATAATTGTAATCGAATAGATTCATCTGGTTTGCTTATAGTTATACATCAAATTGTGCTTGGTTTATTATTCATTAAACAGTTCCACAATAACGATAATAATGATAATAATATAATAATGGTAATAATAATAATAATAATAATAATAATAATAATAATAATAATTAATAAAGTTAATATAAACAATAATGATACAAACAATAATGATAATAATAATAATAATAATTATTATTATTATTATCATTTTAATAATAATAATAATAATAATAACAATAATAAAGATGATGATTTCATTTCTTTTCACTTACTTGTATCATTTTCAATATCATAAAATTCAAATAAAAGCAAAGCTAAATGAGATTGGCTTGCCAATAAGAGATTCAAGATCTCTGCCAAAAGGGTGGCCAAAAGTTACTACAAATAAAATTAGCAATAGAATAAATATAAACATTAATATATATATATATATATATATATATATATATGTAATAATAATAATAATAATAAAAATAATAATAATAAATAAATAAATGTAATAATAATAATAATAATTGATAAAAGGATTATCTTTTTAATATTTTAGTTTAAAATAGACATTTCAAGACATGATGGTGAAAGATGATGATAATACTAACAATATTAATAGTAATATGATGTAGGTTACAAATTCCCCACATGAATAAAATATACGAGCGGTACTGGGTAAAGACAACTTGATTTCTGGATTCGAACAAGGTATCCATTCGTAGAAGTCTCATAAAGTTAAGCCTATTCAATAGTGACATAGGTTAAAAAATTCCCTCACGAATAAAATATACGATCGAGTGGTATTGGGTAGAAACAACTTGGTTCTTGCTTCGTACAAGTTATCCGTTCGTAGAAGTATTATGAAGTTAAACCTATCAAATAGTGACATTAAAGGGTCGGGACCAGGACATACTCCGACTTTAAATTGACAAGGATAAAAAAAAATGTTAAAAAAATAAACGATGTATACATAATAGGCCTTAAAAAAAATAGGAAAAAACTCTGAGAGGCTGAAATATTTCCGTAGCAAACAATAATAATCAATATGTCATTACAGATATTGTTTTACGTTTTTGTAGCAAATTTTGGACACTATTTATCAGAGGTCGAAGTGTCAAGCCTACACGTTTTGTAGTTCGACATATTTTGCACAAGCGGGATGTAAATGCAAAACAAGACTGCAATATATGTAGCCAGCTTATTAAAGCACCAAAACCAGTTCGTTGTAATATACTTATATGTCCCGATCATCGATCGGCATTCGCAAAAATAATGAACTAACGAATGCTTCAACGAGTTCAGCTTACATCCAATCACTCATCGCTAAATTGATTAATCCACCAAAACTCTAGGCAAAATGCAGAGCCATATATCACTCTCTGAATAAAGTAGAGGCGGATAATAGCAACACACCGTTCAGTATTATAAGGGTTTCTTATAGCCTACAAACACGATACGTCACAAATATTCGTTTTCGTCATTCATGCCTAAAAATATTGAAAACATTCTAGTATCGCCGTTGAAAACAAATGCACAAATTGAGGGCGCACTGCAGATGAAAGCAAAGGGTCTTGGTTAGTCATAAATTGACTAATTCAATGATTTTTAAGTACAGTTAAAAGTCCTTGATCGAATTTGTAATTTTTTTATTTCATACACAAATATATTATAAAGTAGCTAATAATAAGCTACATTTGTTAAATAACATTTGTACACCTTACTCGCATACATGTTCAAACATAGGCCTAATAGAAGGGAAAATCGAGGGAAAAACGCAAATTTCAAACTTAAATCTATCATACATTTTGATATTTTGTAAGCTCCATTATATTTACCTTTATGAGTTTTAATTATAGCCGCATTATTTTTTCAATGTAGTAATTAAAAATATTTTGAATTAAACCGTTAAAAAAAAATGTTGATGCTTGATTTTTCAATCTGCTATCAGAAGTATTTTGCTTCTCCAAAATAATACGGTACTAAAGCACAAAAGCTTTGTCAACACTATCACCTTTTATGTGAAAAATAAATGTGATATGCCCATATTTGGATGTAACATGACATCATCATGCCCATATATGGGCACATCACACTAATTTTATAGTGTGAACAGAGCTTTAGATTTAACAAAGGTTGGGATTTTGTATTTTTCGTCTGCATCTTTCTAATTATTTTTAAAGTCAATCCAAGACAGTGGTGGCGCCATCGGAGCAGGGAGAATTTTTACCCCTCCGTGGGACAGGTCTGAACCCCACTGTCGTCTGACGCACAACCAGGTCGTCAGATCAAAAATACAAAATATAACAATTTGCCAATCCAAATAACTTTATTTTAACTACCAATCCCCAATATTGTGGTTTAAAAGCATATTTTGGACCATACTAAGCCATAAAAACTCTCCCAGTGAACTCTACAAAGGATGTTTTTATTTCCTGCCGTCCACAGAGGCTTTGCTGGCCCGGCCCCTTGGCTCGGACCCCTCCTTCGGACATGTCGGACACCTTGTCTGCAAATTTCTGGTGCCAACGCTGATCCAATATTCTTGAACTTGATCACATTAAAAAATGAATATATGTTTCACAGTATCCGGAAACAAATACTTATAGAGAGCGTTCCTCCCTCTGAATATTTTTAATTTAACAGCCTGTTAGTCATTAAATAGCAATTAGGCCTATTAGTACATGTGCATAATTATAATATAAAAAAACTATATAGGCCTACTATTGTATCAGAAATATCGCAACTATTTCAATGATAATAACAACGTTTAGTAATAATTTAAAATAAAAATGTAGGCCTAAGTTTGTCAAGATGTAAAGGAATATCATTGACCTCTAAGTAATGCAAAATGTAGTGCACATTCCTCTATTGTCGTGAAAACAAGAGTCAGTATAATCGATTGTGTATCTCCGGCCAAATGAGAAATTGATTGAAGCAATAAGCAATAATCGCTTAAATTGTCGAAACGACACTACCATACATCACTTTCAAAACAGAATTCTAATATAGAGCTCCCGAGACTCACTCTATGCCATACAAAGTTGAACATTTACAAATAGATGCCTCGTAAGTGGCACATTCATCAATCTTCTGACTGTCTATTGCATTTGGAATAGACAGTGTTTGTGTGCACGTGCCTCCACGTCGTCTAGGCCTAATGTTTAGAGCATAATATTTAGACAACGGAAATAATATTTTTAGTCAATCCCAGTTTATGTTTGAATGAATACATAATATTCTGATTGTTTTTTTTTTTTTGTTTTTTAACAATATTCCTAATTGAAAAGATACAGTAGCAGTTTTTAATTGTTTTGATAGTTCTAACAATAAACACATTTTAGAAAAATTGAAGTGAAGTGTGTTTTACTTTATTATGTAATCCGATTCTCAAATTTCTCAAAAAGTCAAAATATTTTGACATATTTGAAGCGTAAAGGCCTGGTTACACTATGACGATGGCGATCAACGATACAAAGCTAGAAACAATTGTTCCTAAAGAAATACGAGAAGTTTTCACACTAGCACAGGTGACAATTCAATAACGATTTATCGTGAATACGATAAAAGTAAATAGTTTGACAAATCAAATCAAATGACGTCATAATCATAGAAAAACGATCAAATCGTAGTAGTAAAAATGATTTTATCGTTTTCCCATGGATATGACGTCATATGATTTGATTTATGAAATTATTTTTTATCGTATACACGACATCGTTAGAGAATTGTGCTAGTGTGAAAACTTCTCTTATTTCATTTAATTTCTATATGAACAATTACTTTTTATCTTTTTATCGTTGGTCGTTGTTCAGACAGCCTACTTTTGATCATTGCGTTCTTTGTTTTGACATTACTGTACAAACCTTTCGTAGTGACGTGATTTAGTTTTTTGAATTAAATGATAAAACTACTTTTTTTATAAAGAAAAATTGAAAATAGATGAAACATTAATTTGAAAGTATATGTTCTAAAGTTGAGTTTTACGAGTTTAAAACATGATACGGTCAACTAGTGTACATTGTTTACAGGTCAACTTTATACTCACAATGTCAACACAAAATACAAACATAATTTACTAAGTACTACTGTTGGGAGAAAAAAAACCGTTTAGGCCTACTGCTAGCAAAGTATCTAGAAGTAAGGTTCATCAAATATTATATAAACAAGAAATAAACAGAAATACAAATTCATAAGTTGGTGTAAAAAATAACTTAAAAGGATAGGAACATAAGTGTGATATCGACGGAAACTATTTTAAATATAATCAGTCGTGTCGAACAGCTAGGTTCAGGAAGATTGTAAAAATTAGGTTCGGTGTAGCCTTCATTGGATAAATCAATTCAATGTCATATTTATTGCAACATCTCTTTCCTATGAATAACAGTTCCAGCACGTCTCACACGAAAATAAAGTGCTTTTTGGTTGTTTTTCTACTAAAAGATGCCTCCGATTGAGTAACTCAGCGAAGGTGTCTTTAATCCTTTGCATAAAAATGGCCACGTTTTAGGCGAAAACAGATTGACAACAAAAAGGTTGCACCAACTAGGTCTGTATTTCATGACACTCAGGAAAACAAATTGTATGTATATGACAATAAATTAAATCTTCAATCATGTTATGACATTTTTATTTAATATACCCGATGCTGCTTTGGGTTTTTACGAAATTAGATATGTCGTTCTACGTGGGGTACACCTGTATACCGTATATCTGTGTATGACTTCTGTTCAATTAGTTGCGTCCTTGAGAACATAAATTATTGTTTCATTATAAATTATTTATCATTATAATTATTGTTTCAACTATACATTTAGAGTAATTAATTTGTAATTAAAGAATGAGTAATGGGTCATGGGCTATATACAGCATGTAGATTAATGATCCGTGATAAGCTACAACCTTGGGAGGGAAGGAGCATGCACCATACATCATGAGGGTTATGATGCTCGCCTTGACAGCAAGAGGTCCCAGGTTCGAATCTCGTCGGAGGGGTTTAATTACACAATGTGTATTTATCTTTCTTTGATAATTTTGATATATATATACATATAATTATATATACTGTAGGCCTATATATTTTCGTTTCAATTCTGTAATTCGCAACTTTCGTTGTTGCTGGATTTGGAACAAATTAAATAAAATAAAATGATATATAAAGAGTAAAATAAAAGAAAATATAATGGTGTATGGTCTTACGTTTTCAAAACATAGGAGATAAACAGAGGATATTTTAACGCATTCAGGTTTTTGTTTTCCTCGTAATAATTGAAGGGTGACCAACTTGTCACATCACAGGATAATTGTCCTCGTATAGGCAGGGTACTACCGTTGGCCTACTCAACAATGAGGATTTGGAAATGGCGTTCCCTTTAGTGGCGTAGTCCAGGTGCAGACAGTGCTCGCATTCCTTGGGCCTTAAATTTTAAAGACAATGATCAAAAAAACCTCTCTTTTTTTTAAAGGCAAGCATGCTAAACGTAATTTCAAATATGAAATCCGGAAAGCCTAATGGCAGAAACAGCTTTTTGAGTCAAATAACCATCCTGTTAAGCATGTTTTCTTGTCATCTGATATTCAGATCACATTTTCATCAACCCGATTGAAGCAATTTTTGTACTTTTTTTTATACAATGGAAGTTAATTAACAGAAATAATTTACATTAAACATAGGTTAAAGAATACCTACAAAAACGAACTGAACCACTATGGTAAGGTTATCATTACAATATAAATAAGTACTATTATACTTGTAATCGAAATAAAATTTAATGTAAAAAGACATATTTTCAAGAGCGAACCGAATCACTGTTAAGTTCTTCTTATAGATATTAACAAAATTACAAACATCAATAATAATTTTTTTAAATACATCCATACCATAAAAGTAAGATGTAACTAAAAGAACCGTACGCAAATGTATGAAATGAGGGGGAAATGTATATACTTTAATCAACCTTCAATTCAATGTACTACGTATACTTATCATGCCCTGAATTCTAATCTATATTGTTGACATATGAGAAAATGGTTTCCGTTCAGATACGATTGAAGTACAATTTATATTCCAATATTGTCAGAGACAATTTTAAATTATTAGCTCTTCTTTTCAAGATTTGATGGAGATTACATTTGTATACTAAAGAGGGAGCTGTTATGGACTTCTCAAAATAAAGCCAACTGTGCTTCCTTTGGGGTTTAACGGTATCATACGAAGGTTAGGCTTCCATGTTTGTTCTAACCACTCTCAATACTGTCTCTTATACACATCTAGATGTGTATAAGAGACAGGTTGTTTTATATATATGTATATATATATATATATATATGTATGTATATATATATATATATATATATATTCTTGTAAGATGACCTTAATTATAGTGCAATGTAAGAAAAACTAATTATGGTATGTGCGATTGAATTAATATGAAGTTGAATATCCTACAATTTCCTTCAATCCACTTCGCTTCTTCTTCTGTTAAATTGCCGCTTTTATCTTTGATTTTGTGACTGCCTACAAGGTCATACGTGTCTATGTTTGCCACCTTGAAACCATGTTGTTAATGTCTTTGGATGTACTTGTTTAATTTTTACTTAAATATTTTCTTCTACTCTAATTCTTATTATGATTTAAATTTTAAAATTTTGTTTTCCTTACTTAACATCCACATGATCTATTCAGCTTGTCACTTATATCTAAAGACGAGTAGAGCTGGACAAAACCCGTTAATATTAGTAGGTTCCAGTATATTTTTCTTTTTTCTAACAGATAATATAATTAATTTTCATTATGAATTAAATTTAAATATTGGTTTTTCTTTTTCTCATTTACAATTCAATTTTCATGTTCTGTTAAATCCTATTCCTGCGTCTCAGTAGATTCTCAATGAGTTCGTTAACACATTAGAACACCTACACAGTGATTTACCATGGGCGCAAAAAACCCTCAGTGGAGAACATTAATAACTTAATGCGTCGCACGGCTAACATTATTTAAAGCCGGGGATTCACTGCGTCGTACGACGGTCCTGGCATTGCGTTCTCCATAGAATCGTGTCGGCGACGACCGTCCGGCGCAGTTCTAAATCTCAAGTTCATCGTGGAACAAAAACTGGCAAAACGGAAACAACCAGTGATTAGTTTTATTGATAAACCTATTTATTATTTAATTTAATAACACAGTTTCAAAACAATTGATAAGAGCTATTTTAGACATTTGCCATAATCATATAGGCCTATAATACAGGTCTTCTCCAATTAAAGACCCCTCCAATTTTAGACAACATTTTGCAGTGGTCCCAAAATTAACCAATGTCTTTTATCGTTATTATTCTAATTACAGACCAAAGCTGCTAACAAGTAAACCCCTGCACCAGAAGTGGTAGCCTATTAAATTAGAGGAAGACTATTATAATTTTTTTTTAAATGTACTAAAGACATTTAAAGGAATATTAACGAAACCTGCAAACGGTTGTGTAAAACTAGGTGAGTTTATTTTACACAATTCATAAAGTAATACGTCCTGTTTGTTCGGGTTACTTCTCGAGACGTAAAACGATCCCAAGGTGCTAACTGCAGTCTCTCATTATACCCCGTGTTAATAGCATTGCGATTATAGGTGATGCGAACAGACGAAGCCTAATGGTCAGTAACAGTAACATATATTATGATTTATTGGTTCGGTTAATAACAGCTGATATACATGACAAAACGTAAACAATACTAATAACAACACTCGAATAACAAAAGTGTTTAAAAGAAATGAAAACGACATAAAACACCGTAAACTCTTCCAACTACCGTACCTGATGTCATAGAATTTCGCATTTGGCTTCATGATGTTTCTTTGTCAGTTGAATAGGTAAACATCCTGCACCTCTCCATCTGTGATTTGCTGAAGTACAACACGTATTACATTGACAGTTGGTTGCCACTCCGTGGATGACGTTCGATTATGACGTTATAATCTCGAGATGGACACAAACAAGAGGAACGATTTAACTCGGTAGGCCTATTAATTTAATTCTGAGCCCCATTATGCAAATGACTAATTCTTAACGTTTATGGTGAACATTAAGACAGGGTCTCTCCGTTGATTTAATTTAAGAGAGAATACAGATTTAGTCCTTTAATCCGCCACTGCATGCTTGCACCTCGATCAAAATAATAAGGCTAGCTCCGGTCGAACACATTTTTTTCTTAATTTTCTCTTTACACTACTTAAATTAAATAACGATATCTAACATTTTGAGAATTTGTAAGATTTTGGCTGAGGACAGTGAATGATAAACAGAACAATTCGAACGTTGTACGTATTCAACTTGAGGGGGATAGCCGAACTCCTATAATTTAACTTACAAATTTGCTAGTGGATGCATTTTGAAGGTTGAATCTAACTGTTCACCTAGAGTGGCCAATTAACAACAGTTCTTTGCGGATTCCCTCGAATTAAAGCAAATCAGTACTACGCAATTACCGAGTACTTTCCACTTACATGACATTTCTGTGCTGGCTAGGGGGTTCATCAAACCTCACTCTGAATATCAATTGTTGTGTCTAATAAATGACTTTATGCACATTGAATTAATGTTGAATATTCAAATAATACATCAAATTGAAGTTAATATTCAGTATGGGTTCTTTCCTTAAGGCGTTTACTTGATAATTATCATCATTCTTCTATACTTATAGTATTCACGTAAACTGTATTTCACAAACAAATTACACATAGAATCGTGTGTGGCGGCGGTGCAGGTGCTTGGAAAAATGTTGTCCCACCTTCGGATACACATGAACCCCTGTCGGACACGCGTAGTCCCTCCGTCGTCCAACGCCAATTCGACGAGGTATTAATTTGCTTATACAAAGCCAATCCCTTGTGGTTTACGGAACACAATATTGTGTACCATACACCATAAAATCTCTCCCCATGAACCTAACAATGGGTGTAAATAAGAGTATATCGAGGCTGTAAATAAGAGTATAACTATATACAAACACAATCCAACCTGTCGAAGGCACCTTTTTTCAAACCATTAATAAGGAACTTTCTTCTTAGATAGGCTGTTCCTGATACGATCTTTACAACATTGTTCCTTTTTCATTATAGTCCAGGTTATCGGCCCACGCAGGATGATCGCATTGCTTCATCACAATATTTGTTCTATTTGTACATCTTGGTTTAGCCTCTTTGGCTGGTTATATATTTATCGTATTTAGTTGAAGCTTAATGATATCATCTCATTACAGAAAGGTCACAGTAAATTAAGAAGTATATGTGCATAATAATAAAAATGCATATATTAAATGGATAAAATACATTAAAATAAAATGAATGTTTACATGAGTTTATTTCCTTCAAAAATACTAAATGAGTATAGCATCATCATAATCATCATCATCATCATCATCATCATCATCATCATCATCATCATCATCATTACCTTTCCGCTTCAGTAAATTAAAAAGCAGGCCTATATGTATAATAATTATTATTCAAACTGCCTTAATGAAATGCATTGAATTAAATTTAATGTTCAGATGGGTTTCTTTCAATTAAGAATTCACTCAATGACCATATCTACATCATCATTATCATCATTGTCATCGTCATCATTAGCTTTCTTCTTCATACTCATATATATATATATATATATATATATATACAGATATATATATATACTGTATAATATATTCTATATATATATATATATATATATATATATAAACCAAGATAGCCGTTAACACTGTTAAATTATATAATAATCATCAAATTGAAGGCATTTTATTACACAATTTCTTTATTCATTTATTTACAGGGCTACATTCGTTGAGAGCTATGCTACACGATGTATTATTATGTCCTTTATTCTAACACTGTATTTACCTTCCTTTGATGATTATTATATAATCTAACAGTGTTAACGGCTATCTTGATTTATATTATATG